CCACAAAGATGGTGAAGGGCCTGGAGCATCTCCCCTATGAGGAAAGGCTGAGTGATCTGGGTCTGTTTAGTCTTGAGAAGACTGAGAGGGGACCTGATCCAGGTCTATAAATATCTAAGGTGTGGGGGGCAAAGTGGCGAGGCCAGACTGTTTTCAGCAGTGTGCGGAGACAGGACAAGGGGAAATGGCCAGAAGCTGGAGCATAGGAAGTTCAGCACAAATGTGCACAAGAACTTCTTTAGGTGAGGTGACGGAGCACTGGAACAGGCTGCCCAGGGAGGTTGTGGAGTCTCCTTCTCTGGAGATATTCAAGACCCACCTGGACACCTACCTGTGTGACCTGGTGTGGGGATCCTGCTTTGGCAGGGGGGTTGGACTCGATGATCTCTGGAGGTCCCTTCCAACCCCTACAGTTCTGTGATTCTGTGCCCTCTATGAGGACCTCTACAAAGACCTCCATAGGAACCTCTAAATGAATCTCCACAAGGACTTCTCCAAGGGACCAATACAGGGTCCTCCACAGAGACCTCTACAGAAGAGGTCCCTCTATAAAGACCTCTACAGGGACCTCTGTGAGGCTCTCTACAGAGATCTCTATAAAGACCTCTACAGGAACCTCGATAAAGACGTCTATCGATAGCTCTACAGGGACCTCCATAGGGCCCTCTAACCACTCCCTCAGTGCCACATCTCCACAGCTCATCGAACACCTCCAGGGACAGCGACGCCATCACGTCCCTCCTCCAATGATGGCACTCCTCCCCCCCTTTTGGAGAAGAAATGAAGAGCAAATATTGGGAAACCATTGTATGAAATTCCGCAACAGCCGAGCCAAGCTGCTTGGATGTTGGCACCGTATCACCAGGCGGCTCCAACAGCCCCAAAAACGTACCCAGAGCAACCACAGCAACTGCATTTCCCCTACAACCTCAAAATGCTTCTGTTTTGGGTGAAAACAAGCCACAAAAGAGCAAATGGAACCCTGTGCTGTGGCCCCATCACTGCACAGCCCCCAGCTTCTGCTCTGTGGGGTTATGATTAGGAGCCGGAATGAGAATGGAAGGCTCCTGCTCCAAAGAACCAACAAAAAAAACCCTGAGGTGTATTTAAGGGTGCGTGTAAAGCTGAGCAAAGTGCAGCAAGTGACGAGCAGGAGAACCCCCCCAAAAGCTGCCCCACACCTATGCGACCACACATTGGACCTGAACCCAAAGCAGAGGGAGATGCTGGCTACCTGTAGTGGAGGAGTTGGCCTTCCGTGTTGTAATCCCGATAAATGTCACATTCTTTCTCAAACACTCCGGAGGGCGACGAACTGCAACACAGTAATGGGGAACAGAGGGTTACTGGGGGTCCTCATCCACCTCCCCTTCGCTTTGGGGTCAGCGGAGCCCATCCACAGGAAAGGGTGTGGGCTCTGAGCTCGGGGCCGGATCCCATCGCTGGCAGTCAGCCTGGAGACCTTCATTGGGTGTTCGGTAGAGGATGGGATGAGATGGGATGGAATGGGATAGGATTAGGATGGGATGGGATGGGATGAGATAGGATGGGATGGGATGGGATGGGATGGGATGGGATGGGATGGGAAAAAATTGGATAGAATGAAATAGAATAGAATAGGATAGGATAGAATGGGATAAAATAGAATAACAGAATCAAAGAATCACAGAATTACTCAGGTTGGAAGGGACCTCAAGGATCATCAAGTCCAACCGCAGTCTAACCATAGTACCCTAACTCTAACTGCTAAATCAGATAGGATGGGATGGGATAAAATGGAATGGAATGCAGTGGGACAGGATAGGACAGGACAGGACAGGACTGGAATGTGATAGGATTAGGATAGGATAAGATGGGACAGCATCGGATGGGATGGGAAAAAACTGGACAGAAGGAAATGGAATAGAAGAGGATAGGACAGGATGGGATGGAATGGGATGGGATGAAATTGAATAGAATGGGATGGGATGGGATAGGATACGATTGGATTGGAATGGGATAGGATTAGGACAGGATAGGATGGAATAAGACAGGGTGGGATGGCATGGGAAAAATTTGGATAGAATGAAGTGGAGTAGAATAGGATGGGATGGGATGAAATTGAATAGAATGCAATGGAATAGGATTGGACTGGATTAGGATTAGGATTAGGATTAGGATGGGATGGGATGGGATGGGATAGGATAGGATAGGATAGGATAGGATAGGATAGGATAGGATAGGATAGGATAGGATAGGATAGGATAGAACTGGAATGCGATAGGGTAGGACTGGAAAGGAATAGGAGAGAATAGAATATAACAGGACAGTACAGGCTAGATTTAATTCAGTCAGAGGGGATCTACAAAGACCACTGAGTCCAACCATGTGACCAAGCCCTCCACAACTGTGGTCTCCACCTTCACATCCCACCCTGCCAATGCTCCATTCTCCCTTATTCATGAAGGAGGCCAGATGGACCAGAACATCTCCCGGCTCTGTGCTGCCCTTGGGCATTTCCTTTGGGGGCCCTTTGTTGGGATTCTGCATCAACCCCACATTTCCCATCCCTTCTGTGCCTGAGGGACGGCTCATGGCCACTTGGTGTCCCTTTTTTTTTGGCCAAAACCTGGTGTGCTCTTCAGCTTTCGATTCTTCACACCAGCCACACACAGAAAAAAGGGTCACGGTCATCCAACAGTGTTGGTCCCACTCCCTCTGGACACCCATAATGACTCTATTGCTCCAATGGGTGAAGCAATGCAGGTCATACCATTAAACCTGGGGAACCCAGAAAGAATGGCTCAAGTTGGAGGAACGTCTGAGTTACCAAATAAAACTCCAGAGCACAGGAACATCCCGAAATTGAGCCCTAAGGAGGCATAAAAGAATGGGGAAAAGTCAAATTTAAATGCTTCCAGGTGAGCAAAGCCTCTGGCTCAGATTCTTCCCCAGATCCACAATTTTTGCCCAGATGCAGTTGAAGGAATCACTGTTGGATGAGCGGGATCTGGTATGAGAGTAATTAAGCTGCAAAGTGATTACAAAATCAAAGGACTTAGGAGCCACAAGAGTGGCCGAGTGACAGAAAAAGGCAGAAAAGACATTTTTTGGTGGTTTTGTGGTGGAGGGGGGCTCAAGAAGCAGCACTGCTGGGGGGAGGGGCACATCTTGGGGAGATGCACATCAGAAGGAACACATCTGGAGGGAGATGCACATCTGGGAGAGGTGTACAACTGAAGGAACACACCTGGGGGGGGAGCACATCTGAAGGAATGCACATCTGGGGAGCAGAGCGTGTGGGGAGATGCACATCTGAAGGAACACATCTGGGGGGGGGGGCAACACATCTGGAGGTGCCTCTCATCCCTCCCCACCCACAGCATCTGCAGCACAGAATCCCATGAGGGAAACGTCACTGGTTTAAAAACCCACAAGGCAGAGCCACAGGCAGCTCTGCATACAGCATCAACTCAGAATAATAATTAAAAAAACAACACCACATCTAGTCTTTCCATTTTTTTCCTTCTTTTTTCCCCCTCCCTGAAACAGGAGGTGCCACCACTCCCCACCGGCTCTGCTCTTATTTACAAACCCGGGGAAAGTGGTGCGACCGAAATAGCACAGCTCAGTGGCCAGGCCAGGAATAGAACTGAAATCCCTGCCCTAATCCTCCGCCCTGAGCACCATACGCTTAATTACAGCTCCTAATAAAGGGGAGAAGATGGTTTTCTTAGTGGTTATGTAAGCGGTGCTCCGGGTCTGACGCTCTCCGTACGCAGTTTGTTGCGTTCAGCAAATATCTGCCAGATCCCCAATAATTCAAGGAAATAACGTGAAAAAAAAAAGAAATATGATGTGGACAGAGCGCTCTGCCCCTCGTGTCACCTTCCCCCATTTCAGGTTAGAAATGCCAGATCTGAGGATTCTTCCATAAAATATTAGAGGTGGGTAAATCTTGGGGTAATTTCAGCTGTCCTCGTGCAAAGGCACCCAATGGTGGCCAAAGGCACCTCCTCTACCAGAGCCCACAGCAAAATGGTTGAGGTCATGAGTTTCTTGCAGAAAGGTCACCAGAATCATAAGCAGTACCCCAGAATTCCTGCTGGGAAGAGCTCTGTGTTTGATGAGCACCAAGATAAACTTGCTATTGAAGTCCCAAAGATCAGCTCCAAGCAGCAGCGGGGCAAGGTGAGCACATGACTATGGTGTTGGGTCAAAACCAACAGAACCACCCTTAGAGCCCCAACACAATCATCTCTAGAACCCCAACATCAGTCCATAATCTAACATAATCACATTCAGAACCCTAATATCCATCCAAAATCCAACATAATCACACTTAGAACCCCAACACCCATCCAACAACCCAACACAACCATCACTTCAACACCAACCTCCACCTAAAACCCAACACAACCACGCCTACAACCCCAACATCCATCCATAACCCCACACAACCATCCCTAGAATCCCAAAATCAATCCACAACCTAACCCTAGAAACCCAGCACCCATCCATAACCCAACACAACACCCCTAGAACCCAAACATCCATCCGTAATCCAACACAACTATCCCTACAATCCCAGCACCCATCCATAATCCAACACAATCACTCCTAGAACCTCAAAATCCATCCACAACCCAACACAATCACTCCTAGAACCTCAAAATCCATCCATAACCCAACACAATCACTCCTAGAACCTCAAAATTCATCCACAACCCAACACAATCACTCCTAGAACCTCAAAATCCATCCATAACCCAACACAATCACTCCTAGAACCTCAAAATCCATCCACAACCCAACACAATCACTCCTAAAACCTCAACATCCACCCATAACCCAACACAACCATCCCCAGAACCCCAACACCAATCCACAACCCAACCCTAGAATCCCAACATCTACCTGGAACCCAACACAACCACTCCTAGAACCCCAGAACCCATTAACAGAAACCACCCCAAAACCCCAACATCCACCCATAGCAACCACCCCAAAACCCCAACATCCACCCATAGCAACCACCCCAAAACCCCAACATCCATCCATAGCAACCACCCCAAAACCCCAACATCCACCCATAGCAACCACCCCAAAACCCCTCCACACTGCAGAACTTTGCTTTCCTGCAGCACAGGTCACCAACACCCAACCTCACACCGCACCGCCCCAGCTCTCACCTTTCCGTTTCTTCCTTCACTGCAGCATACGGGGCCGATTGCCGGCTCGACCTCGTCGTCTCGACCGCTTTCTCGTTGCCTTCCAACTCCTGCTCCAGGGAGGAGCTGGTGCTGCCCTCCCTGCTGACATTGCTGCTCCGGCCGGGGCTGTTTTCGGTAGACGCTCGAGGAGATTCCGTGTTCTGCTTCAAGGTCTGCAGTTTGGCCAAAGGGATGATGTCGCAGTTCTGCGGGCGGTGCCAGACCGTGCGCTGCGTGGTGGCATTGTAGTAGTAGAAGCGGGAGGTGTTGGGGTCAAAGAGCTCCCACCACTGGTTCTCATTGGTGCGCTTGATGCGCACGCCGGCCGGCGGGTCCCACACGCACTCCCCCGTGATCAGGTTGGCGTACATGCGCTCCCGGGTCCGAGGTTCGATGATTTCCACCCATTCCAGCCTGAAGGGGAAAAGGGATGGAAGGAGGAAGGGGTGAGTGTGACCAAGAGAGCAGCATTCTCGGGGCCATCGCACCTCTGTGTCACAGAACTGCAGGATCGTAGGGGATGGATGGGACCTCACCCAAAGCAGGCTGCACAGGAACCAGGGTTGAGCATCTCCAGTGAAGGAGACTCCCCCAGCTCTGGGCAATCTATGCCAGTGCTCTGGCATCCTCACGGCACAGTTGTTCAGATGGAACTTACTGGGTTCCAGTTTGTTCCATGGTACGTTCCACCTCTGTGCCACATCCCACCTCCACAGTGCATCCCACCTCCAGTGCACATCCCAGCTCCGTAGGATATGGAGACAGGGTAGATAACAGCAGGACGAGGGGAAATGGTTTTAAGTTGACGGAGGGGAGATTTAGGTTGGACGTCAGGGGGAAATTCTTCACAGAGAAAGTGGTGAGGTGCTGGAACAGCTGCCCACAGAGGTTGTGGATGCCCCATCCCTGGAAATGTTCAAGGCCAGGTTGGATGGGGCCCTGGGCAGCCTGGTCTAGCATTAAATGAGGAGGCTGGTGGTCCTGCATGTGGCAGGGGGGTTGGAGATTCATGATCCTTCAGGTCCCTTCCAACCCTGGCCATTCTGTGATTCTGAGATACTCCATCTCCAGCGCAAATCCCAGCTCTGGTCCATATTTCACCTCAGACATTCCACCTCCATAGGACATCCCACCTCTACAGGACATCCCATCTTCATAGGACATCCATCTCCATTGAACGTCCCACTTCCACAAGGATCTCCATAGGACACCCCATTTCCATAGGACATCCCACTTCCCTAAGACATCCCATCTCCATAGGCCATTCTATCTCACCCCAACACACCCCTGAGCCGCATCAGTGCCCAAACCAGAGCCACTCACCACCCCAACCCTGCACCTCTACCAAATGAGGAGTTCTTTCTGAGGGTTTTGGGGCTCTTTGCACAAAAATGGAGCAAAACAACCCATGGCTTGAGACTCCTTGCCCTTCCTCCTGCCATCAGCTGAAGGCAGAAATTCAGAAGAGGATTTAATTAACACGTGATCTTGCAGACAATGGGAGTTCACCAACTGCAGATGCCCAGAAGTGCCCAACTAAAACCAGAATCCAACTACACCCAGAAACATACAACTACACCCAAAATAACCCAACTACACCCAGAAGCATCCAAGTACCCTCCAAAAGCATCAAACCACACCAAGTGTCCAACTACAACCAGAAGTCTCTAGCTACAACCAGAAAAGTCCAACAACCACAACCAGAAGCATTCAACTACGTGATTAAGAGTACAGCTACACCTAGGAGAGCCTGACTTCACCCAGAAGTACTCAACTTCATCTGGAAGTACTCAACTATCCCCAGAATCATCTAACTACAGCCAGAAGAGTCAACTCCATGTGGACACTGGGCCTTCAGGTCAACAGAAACAAGAAACTCAACACAGAATCACAGAATCACCAAGGTTGGAAAAGACCTACAAGATCATCCAGTCCAACCATCCACCAATCACCAATAGTTCTCAGGAAACCACATCCCTCAACACAACATCCAAATGTTTCCTGGACACCTCCCTGTGCAGCCCATTCCAGTGCCTGACCACTCTTTCAGAAAAGTAGGATTTCCTAACGTCCAGCCTCAATCTCCCCTGTTGCAGCTTGAAGCCATTCCCTCTAGTTACACGAGAGAAGAGGCCGACCCCCAGCTTACTACGACCTCCCTTCAGGTAGTTATAGAGAGCAATAAGGTCTCCCCTGAGCCTCCTCTTCTCCAGACTGAACAATCCCAGCTCCTTCAGTCGCTCCTTGTAAGACCTGTGCTCCAGACCCCTCACCAGTTTTGTTGCCCTTCTTTGAACACGCTCCAGGGCCTCAATGTCTTTCTTGCAGTGCGGGGCCCAAAACTGGACACAGTACTCGAGGTGCGGCCTCACCAGAGCTGAGTACAGGGGGACAATCACTTCCCTGTTCCTGCTGGCAACACCATTCCTGATGTAAGCCAGGATGCCACTGGCCTTCTTGGCCACCCAGGCACACTGCTGGCTCATGTTCAGCCAAGCATCAATCAATACCCCCAGGTCCATTTTCCTACAGTCTTCCAGCCACTCCGCCCCAAGCCTGTAGCGTTGCCTGGGGTTGTGGTGGCCAAAGTGCAGGACTTGGCCTTGTTGAACCTCATCCCATTGGCTTCAGCCCAGCTCTCCAGCCTGTCCTGATCCCTCTGTAGGGCCTCGCTACCCCCAGGCAGATCCACACTTCCAGCCAACTTGGTGTCATCTGCAAATTTACTGAGGGTGCACTCAGTGCCCTCATCCAGGTCATCAATAAAGATATTGGGGAACACCACTCGTGACCGGTCGCCAGCTGGATTTATCTCCACTGACCACCACTCTCTGGGCCCAGCCTTCCAGCCAGTTCCTTATCCAGCCAAGAGTGCACCTGTCCAAGCCACAGGCTGCCAGCTTCTGCAGGAGAATGCTGTGTTAAAGGCCTTGCTGAAGTCTAGGCAGACCACATCAACAGCCTTTCCCTTGTCTACCAGGCGGGTCACTGGATCGTAGAAGGAGATGAGGTTGGTCAAGCAGGACCTGCCCTTCGTGAACCCATGTTGGCTATGCCTGATCCCCTGGCTGTCCCACACGTGCCGTGTGATCTCCCTCAAGACAATCTGCTCCACAAACACACAACACAAATCCTTTGGTTCTGGAGACCTGACCCACATCTGTCTCAGAAGGGTACAATGACACGCTCCCAGTGTGCCACGGCACTCTGCTTAACGAGCAAGAATCATTAAGGCTGGAAAAGACCTCAAGACCACCAAGTCCAACCCCAGCCTATCTCCATTGTTTCCCTAAAAAGAACCACGGAATCATTAGGGCTGGAAAAGACCTCAAGACCACCAAGTCCAACTCCAATCCATCCCCATCGTGTCCCTAGAAAGAATCATTGAATCATTAGGGCTGGAGAAGACCTCCAAGATCCCCAACCCATCCCCAAGTGTGTCCCTAAATAGAATCACAACCATTAGCACTGGAGAAGACCTCAAGAACATCAAGTACAACTCCAACCCATCCCTACCACGACCCTAAAACAGAACCACAGAACCAGTAAGGTTGGAAGAGACCTCCAAGTCCAGCCTCAACCCCATCCCACCCCCATACCCAGCTCTCACCTCTCAGTTCTGCAGAGGAGATCACTCCCACCTCATTTCCACCCTTAAAACTCAACAGTAATCACAACAACAACCCATCCCACCTTCATTTGATTCCCCAAGCAGCATTCTTTTTTCATTTCTGTTAACTCAAAAATGGTTTTGCTCAGAATTTCGTTCAAAAACAGTTTCGCTCAATAATTATTTTACTGAAAATTTATTTTTACTGAAAAATTAACCCCAAAAGTATAACTTTTTTTTTTGTTGTTGTTAACATGGCAATGGGAGATGGAAAAAAATATTAGTTTTGGGCACATTGAGCACATTGGTATGGCAAAAAAAGCTCTGGATGGGATGGGGTTACTCAACTTCTGGGGCAGCAGCAGCCCCCAAACAGCAGAAAACCTCAATCCCTGCATCCAGCGATGGTCCCTGGGAAAACTCCATCAGTGATGGCCACAGAATAACCCCAATTCCTGCCCTCCTGATATGGTTCTAAGTCTGAATCAGAGCACCACAGAGGCTACACCTGGATTTTTGGGTAGAAATCCCAGTTTATAGGTGTGAGATACGGCACGGTCCGAAGCTGTGAGTGTCCCGTGTGCCCCATTCCAAAGGCTGTGCAGCACCAAATGCGGGATGCAGCCATGCAGAGAGGGCTGCAGAGGGCTCCCTCTGTTCAGAGGACGCTCTGAATCACTGCATTCCCTAAATCCCTCACCCCCTCCCACCACTGTGGGGTGAAAACAGGAGAACTCCGTGGGGAGAAAGGTTTGAGGGCAAAATAGCTCCAAGTTGGGCTCTTCCAGCGAGGTCTGCTGTTCCCCTTACTGAGCCACTGGCTCTCCCATTTTTAGTGACACTGTTTTCCCATCCAGAGAGAAGTTAGTTACCATTTATAAGGATGTTCCCCTCCCTTTCCTAGGGGCACTGCTCTCCCATTCACAGAGACGTTGACTCCCCCATTTATAGGGACGTTGCTCTCATGTTTATAGAGACCTGGACTCCCCCATTTGTAGGGGCACTGCTCTACCATTCCTAAGGAAGAAGCTCTCTCATTTATAGGGCCGTTGGCTCTCCCATTTACAGTGATGTTCTCCTCCCATTTACACGGGCACTGCTCTCCCACTCAGCTCAGCCCTCTGAACATAAGCAGCAAAACCCAAAACTTGGGTTGCACTCCACCAGTTCCTTGAGCGCTCAGAGACTGCCCTCTGCCCCTCCTGCTCCAAACCCTCCTCTTTTTCTAGAGCTATTTCCAGTTGACGTAGGCAGAAAAGCCAACAAGGAACTACGGGAAATAAAACCAGAAAGCAAAGTCCCAGATATTAAATGTGAAGTTAAGGAAGGATGAAAAGCAAAGAGCTGAAATGAGTCGTTAAGGACGTGAGTGGGGCCAACGCTGCTGTAGGATCATGGAAGCATCCAGGTTGGAAACACCATTGTGATGCTCACAGGTTTGTGTGACGCTCACCAAACTCAACCACCACCCGACCTATGGTCTCCCATCACCAAACCACATCCGTCGTTGCCATAAAAACCCCAGATGGAACGTTTCACACATTGGTTCCGAGGGAAATTTCGTGTTCCTGCTGAGCCCCGAACCCAACTGCTCGCCTACGGATTTTGAGGACAATTTGTACAAAGAGAAGCATTCCCTGAGCTACAGGCGCTGATCCCACGACTCCTCCATCTCCACACAGCTGCTGGTAAGTTCCTGCCCTGGAAGACATTTCTGAGGCCATAAATACAGCGATCGGACAGAAGCCAGGGATGAGATGGAGCTGTTGCCCCCAGGCTTGCCGGGCTGACTCTGCATCTCCCTCCGGGCTCCCTTTCTGGTAATAAATGGAACAAAAAGATGTTTCAGGGAGAAACAGAGCTTCAGTTCCACCCACGGATGTGCTTGGGGAGAGAAGTGCTGCAAGACGGAGCCTATAAATAACTCTGAGTTGCACCACAACTGTGCTCAGAAATAAGAATCTCATCGTTCCTCTCGGGCCAGGGCAGCGCGCAGCCCTGGTGACTGGTCAGTGATGGGATGGGGTAGGTTAGGAGGATGGTTGGACTCTGGGGTCCCCATGGTCTTTTCCAACGTAGGTCACCCCATGGTTCCATCATTCATTCCATCTTCCACCCTTGAGCACCACATGGTGCCACCATTCTAACATTTTCTCCAGCTCACATCACCCCATGGTTCCATGACTCTAAAAGGATCTTT